TGGGGAAGGCTGCTGCCACAATGACAGTGGCTGAAGTGTGGCCCTCTGGGCAAAGACAAGCTCCCTCGGTGCGAGGGGAAGAGGAGACAGGACAGAAGTAGGCAGCCCGGTGCTCGAGAAAGAGAGAACAGCGAGCAGCCTGGTGCCCAGTGATCGAGAAAAAGAAGGAATGGATTGAAAATCTGAAAAGGAAGTTGCAACTGGCAGCACGAGAATCATAGGAGAAAGATTGGAGGAATCCTTGTGGAACCAAAGAAGAACAAGAGAAGTATGAGGTAGCTACAGCCTGCTGAGCAGGATGCGAGTGGCCTGCAGGTGGCGAATGCAGAAGGTTCTGCAGATGGTGGAGCAGGATCAGCAGCACTACCTTCAAAAAAGCTGAAGTTGAGACGATCCTGCAATGGACAAGAAACAATCTGTCGTCGGATGTGGACACAATTGAACAATCCATTGGTGAATAACCACATATACGTCATTCGAGCTGTTTAAGTGGAAGCGGAAGTGTGCCTGTTCTATGGGTTTAAATAGTGTGGGAAGGGAAGGGGTGTAGTTCAACTTGATCCCCCTCCCGAACTTCAAATAATTATCATTATATCCACTTACAACCGTGGCCTTAGATGTTTGAGAATAAAAACAGGAGGGAAATCCTTCACAGTTATTTGGAAAAAAGTAATTACATTAAAGTGTGTTGCCCTGGGAATTCAAGACAGCTAATTACAGGCACAGTCAGGAAGTAGAAAAATTAGCACAGTATTTTTGTTTCAATTTTATATTGCCCAAACAATAGAGCCTGAGAAGCGATTCTAATATATACACCTTTCAATTCACATCAAAGGGCTGTTAGACAAATTCCTGGTTTGCGTTCAGCTCTTAACCCTTGAAAAAAACCCCTGGACAGCTTGAAGGAGACTCAATAATTTATGGAAAGGAGCAGCTAAAGGAAAGGGTTGGGAGATGTAAGGAGACAGGGACACAAGGAGATGTTTGGCTGCCAGCAGTTAGCCTCATAAACAAGGTCATTTCCAAAGTAACATGCAATGGAGGGTTGGGACAAGCATCCTATAAAGCAGATAGAGAACAATAGCAGGAACCATCGGCCACAAAATGACTGGAGCCTCTCCCTGGATGAGAATAATAGAAAGACCATGCAGAATCAGGGCACACACTGAGCATGAAGGAGACAGGATGGATGAGATATTTTTATAATTTGATTAATGCTAATGGGTCAAGGAAAGTGATATCATGAGATATGCTGACAAACACAACTACAGTTGCCATCAAAGTGAATGTTTTCACAAGTAATTACTTGTAGGAAATGTTGTTATTCCAAAACAATAAGGCCACATTCAAACTGAATTTCAAAGGTGTGAAAAAACACAACCATAACCATTCATTTCCATGGGGGACCAAGTTCACCACAGCCCACAGCAGTACTGCAGGGGTATCCGGCAAAGTGATGCAGCCCTGTGCGGCAAAAACGTGGGATCTGGTTCAACCTTCGCTGCACTGGACGGCAACATCACACGGCAAAGGAGCTGCGTTGACCATTTGACCGCATTCAGTCTGAATGCCCACTAATGACGCTGAACCTGGAAACGACACATCCAGCACTACATTGTAGAAGAAAAATATTAATTTTCATCTAATTTTTAACATTCACAAACCTAATGTGATCTTACACAATGTGATTTTTAATTTAAAATAGTCATATCACTTGACACAGTTTGTCTACATAAAAAGGTGTTGCGACCTTGTTTGTTGTTACTGTTAAGCTAAGTGAATGCACACTGGATTGCACAAATGGCTTTTGGTGCCACTTCACATTTCATCATTGTTTACATTTATAAAGAGCTGTCTGTATTATGATGGAGGAGAAGGGTTTTGTCTAGTTTGGGGTTAACACTCCATATCCTTTTCCATTCAACACATTGTTCCTTTTACCACAGATTAATATCTTGTTTAAACAGCCTGCAGACACACCACGCCGTCAGTATGTTCATAAATCCTCTGGAGCTGATCAACACAATGGCCCACATTCCTGGCATTTAATGGAAGTTCCTTATATCACTGCATCTCCTCTCTGCCAGAAACACAGACATTCTAGGAATACAACATGGGAACAAAAACAACTCTCCACACACGTCTGTTTATTTAATTTTGTTGAAAACATTACTGAGACAGGGAGACATTGACACTTTGGGGGGTGTCCACCCAACGCTTTACCTCAGTGATGCATCACTGAACCTTTGACCTACACCCTGTCTGAGTCCAGTTACATCTTTAGAAAGGTTTTCTCTTGGACAGCATGGACAAATGTTTTGGTTGGTATTAGCCATTGTTTTCCTTAGTTTAATTTATAGACATTTATCAGGGTTAAATCACTTGACCTGTCCCCAGCAGTGTCTCTGTATGTGGGATGACCAAACACTCCCTTTCAAATGATGGCTTCCTCTGAGCTCATAAGGAGACATGTCGTATAAAAATGAACATGATTTCATATCAATAACATTAAAGCCCCACTAATATAGATATTGTTTATATTAGCAATTAAACAAATGACTACATGTAATGAACATACAGTAATGAACTTTCAGTTACGATTCAACTCTGCAGCTCTACAGAGCTTGTTAGTGTCAGGTTTGCTCGGCTGCACCTGCCTCTCTCACCTCCCTTTTTGTTTTTTGGTCCCTGAAAACTGCATTCTCAAACACAAACAATTTAGGTTTTTATGCCTGTTTACCAGCAGACAAAACAAAGGGACAGGGCCAGGCCATGAAATAGGCGAAATAGGCAGTTGCCTAGGGTGCAAAATGACGGGGGGTGCGCCACATGAAAGTTTTTTTTTTTTCTCAGAAGAGCGCCCTACACCCATAAGCAAAATAATTACTGGCAGTTAACAATTTTAGTACTGATCGATCATTGGACTGATTAAAATAATGTTAAAATAAAATAAAATTGACATCAATGAAACACCATAAGATTTGAAAACATGTCGTACTAATTTAAACACTTTCTGCTTCATGATGTAATTATAATGCATCATCATAACGCACTGACAATGCATGGAGCACGCTGTTAAAATATGTGCTTCGAAAGTGCCATTTTTATGTGAAATGAGTGAAAAAAGAAAATTATCAGGGGCACAAGGCAGGAAGCAACGCAAAGAAGAGGAACAGAAAAAAGAACAATATAGATACTGTAGATGTGGGTGGCACTGAGGATAAGTGTGACTATCCCAGTGACTGTGGCAGGTGTAGAGAGGAGCTTTTCAAATCTCAAGCTGATTAAGACCTACTTGAGGTCTACCATGGCCCAAGAGCATCTCAGTGGACTTGCTGTCATCAGCATCAATAATGTTTCTCAGAATTTGTCATTTGATGCAGTCATTGATGACTTTGCTGCAAAGAAATCCAGGCGTGTTCAGTTTTGAAACTGTTCTGAAATTCTGAATATAATAGTATTTTTTGGACTTTTTACTTGATTTGCACTTTAATTTCTAATTTAATTTTTGTGTGATTCTTCAGGTGATTGTAAGTCAAATTTATTATCACAAATTATTTACGAATTTATGTTAGTACTTATCAGTCTGTAATGTTATGTTACGTTATGTTATATTCTAGTAAAGTTTTGAAAAATCAGCATTTTCTGAAATTTTTTAAAGGGTGGGGGAATCTAAAATCTCGCCTAGGGCACCAACAGAGCCTGGGCCGGCCCTGCTACCCTTCCAGCCTCCACCAGCCAGGTTGGTACACAGTCATCAGATCCCATCTACCACCCACCGGCCACACCGGGAGTGACCCTAGATATTGTTAGGTTTAGGCAGAGAAACTACATGATTAAGGCTAAGGACAGACCCTTGGTTCTTTTAAAACACCGCCCTGTTATTGTGACACCGCTACGGCTTAAGATGTGGACCAACATAACTATTCTACATTTTCACGTGAGACTGGGATGGTCCTTTTGGCTTGGTGTTTTGGTTTAGGTAATAGCTGCAAATGCTGGGTATGCTTCAGTCCCTCTTCTCAGCAGAAGCAGTAGGCCTCTGTTTGTGGCACAAAGATTAATTTGTATTTTTTTTTTTCAGGGGTTGTTGGAGACCAAAACAGAGCTTAAGGAAGAGTGAGTATTACTTATATTTATCAGGTGGCCAGAAACACAACTCTTAATGAATGTTAGTGTTGCCCCATGTCTGCTGATGTCTGCCTCATGTACAAATAGGTAACTGTTTGCTGTCACACCTTTTTAAGGCAATATAATGTCAGGCAGAATGTACTGTATCTAGCTCGCAGTGGAGTTTGTTTGGTCTCTAAAGCTGGTACAAAAGATCCATGTGCACAAAGTGTCTGCAAACATACTATATGCAGAGAACAGTATTATAGATTGCAAAGAGGGGCACACAAACCTCCCAAACCCAAACATGCTGTGCAAACCTGCCTGACAAGCAAGGTGATTCAGCTCCTGCTAGAGGGGAGGTTAGACACGGAGATGAAAACAAACAGTGATGTACCTCATGCATGTATAACAGAACGAATCACTTAAATGTGCTTATGCAGATTCGGAAATTACAATGTAAGTGACATGACTTTAATACAACTTTACAAATGCAATAAAAGATGCTGCCATCTTTGTTCCAAATTTTAATGTGTGGCACAGTACATTCTGAATTTGCAGCTTTAAACATTTTGCCCCTCTGTTCAAGGTCTGGGCCCATTCAAGTCAGAACCCTTTAGTGTTCTCCAATGCAAACAGAAAAACATACACGTCCTCACGTAGCCACATGGGACTCGAGATGTCATTCATGAGATGGGAGAAATTTGTTCTCAGCACCCAAATCTGGCTTTACACCAGAAATAATTTTTCCATTTCCTTTAATTTCCTTTTTAATAATTACCAGAATCAGACTGAACCTCTTGTGATTGCAATTTCCTTCAGTTTCATACTCACTCATAGTTTCAAGGAGAAAAACTAGAGAGCAGACACATAGGTCTTGTTTTATCTTGTATTTATCCAAAGCACCCTTGTCTTCACTCCTGTTTGACAAAACCATCTCACTCATCACACACAGTCTGACCAGAGCCAACGTGTGGTTTGATCCATGAACCAGGCTGTTATGTCTGATTGAGTTTCACAGGGGTCTCATTGGTAGCAGACTCTTCCTTATACACAATTTAAACACCTACTCATTACAGACATCCATCCTTCTCGGAAATGAACTCCTTGCTGACAGACATGGTTTGAGATTACCCCTGAGCTTTACCACTAATATGATTTGATCTCTTTAGGCCTTTCACAGTGCCATGCATTGTATGAGTTAACGATGCTTCCTCTGAGCTTGCACCTCCCGCACAGCTCTGTGGAAGCAGAACATAAAGGAGGATGGGCTCTGTGTGTGTGTGTGTGTGTGTGTGTGTGTGTGTGTGTGTGTGTGTGGAAGGAGGGGCTGTGAGAGAAGGAAGGCCAAATTCCCTGCCTTTCTGCTTGCTGCTAAAAAAAACTCCTTTTAGCAGTAGGACCCAGAGGAATTTTGCAGGAAAAAGCAGTACACCTTTATGTTGTCTGAGGCAGGATAAAGATGTGAAAAAAGTTGTCCAGCATTGTAACAAACAAGGTTGAGCTTTCAGCCATGTCATTGGCTAAAAAGAGCCTGACAGGAAAATGCAATGGCTTCTGAGGTCAGGCCAGAGTCCGTTATATAGCCTGGTGAACTATTACCAGTCTTCTAAGGGTCAATATGAGCGCCCCCGTGACCGTGTACAGGGGCATTTACACGGAGGACCGCTTCAAACAGGCATACGGCTCCGAGGAGAGCACAAATGGAAGTTTGCGGCTTCGGGAAAAGCTCGTCGGGAGGTGCAGGTGTTCAAGGCGAGCCTGCCATCACCTGTTGAAACAGAGAGTCCCCATTTTCAACTGGCTGCCGAGATACAAGCTAAAGAAATGGATTGTAGGAGATTCAATAGCGGGAGTGACCGTCGGTATCCTTCACATTCCGCAAGGTGAGTAAACAATAGCATCATCACGATTAAAGTGCAATTAATTAGTCTGCACAAAAAAGGGAAAGGTCTTGCTTTCGCGAATATGATTTGAAGAATTTTAAATAAGTGATAAATAATATAACTGTACTAATTAGTATTGGTTATTATCCAGATTACCTGAGAAAGTATTACAAAGTTAGAATAAGTGATAAGAAACTATGATGATAGGGCAAACACATTCACATTTAAAACAAATAAAACCTATTATTATTGTATCACTTCCCATGCTTCAGCCTTAAAAGCCTTAAAGACTGATTTCACATTCTGAACATAGATTTAGAAAAACAGATTTTACTGATAAGCTCTCTTTTTGAATGTCCTTCCATAATCAGGTATGGCCTTTGCTTTACTCACATCTGTGGCACCAATATTTGGCCTTTACACCTCCTTCTTTCCTGTGGTCCTCTATATGGTTTTTGGCACAGGTCGCCATGTGTCCACAGGTAAGATCTGTGTCCACATAACATCTGTTATATGTTCTAAAGAAGCATAACAAACATCGTCACTCTGGTAATTACTGCAAATAGTTGCATTATCTTGTGCCTGCATTTGGAATTCAACGTGAAGTGTCAGTGTTACTGAGGCAATAGGTCTTTTCTCAGGTACCTTTGCTGTTGTCAGTCTGATGACTGGCACTGTGGTGGAGCAGCTGGTTCCCACTCCTCTGGAACCAAACTCAAGTTTGTCTGAAGCGACTGACTTTGAGGCCCAGAGAATTGGAGTGGCCTCAGCTATAGCCCTCCTCTCAGGAATTATTATGGTAAGATGGGTGGACAAAGTCTAAGTCACAAAATGAACAATGAAGCTGAGATGGCTGATCTTTCTGTTTGTGACTCACAGACATGATTGGCTGACACTCATGGTGTTAAATTAATGTCTTGTGTCCCAGCTCTGTATGTTTGGTCTTCAACTGGGCTTCCTCTCCACCTATCTGTCAGAGCCAATTGTTAAGGCTTTCACCAGTGCCGCTGCCTTCCATGTCACCATCTCTCAGTTGCAAAGCATGCTGGGGCTGCGGCTCCCTCGCCACACTGGGACTTTCTCCCTCTTCAAGGTAAGCAATGGTTCATGATGAGGTATCCATTGTGTTATTGTTTGGGCATTTGGTGTTGTGTTCTCACAGCTCACTGACGTGTGTGCACAGACTTTAGCGTCGGTGATGAAGAATCTGCCTCACACCAACACGGCTGAGCTGTTGATCTCCGTGGTGTGTTTGGCTGTCCTGGTCCCAGTTAAAGAGATCAACGTGCGTTGCCGTGAGCGCCTGCGTACCCCGATCCCTGTGGAGATCCTCACGGTTAGTCAACTGGATTTATGAATGCTGAGTGTATATTAATACTTCCAATGTTAATAACAGGTTATAAGTTACGGGTTTCTGCTTCTTTCTTCAGGTGATTATTGCCACAGGTGTGACCTATGCCTCATCTCTGGACTCTGCCTACAACATTGAGATAGTTGGCTCTATTCCAGCTGGGTAAACTTTTAGATAAAAAAAAACAAACACTGATGAATACACTCACCTCCAGTAGTTTGACTTAACTCTGTCCTCCTCAGATTCCCAGGGCCACGAATGCCTGCCTTGCACACTTTTCCTGACATTGTTGGAGACACGGTAGCCATAACATTTGTTGGTTATGCTGTGTCAGTCTCACTGGCAATGATTTATGCTGATAAACATGGATATTCCATACATCCAAACCAGGTTAGGTGTGAGAATGTGGCAGCTGTGTTTTTTTTTTAATGAACAGATCCTCACCAGTTTCTTAACTTTTTGTGTTGAACGTATGTTTGATGATAGGAGCTGCTGGCCCATGGTGTCTCCAACACAGTGTCCTCCTTTTTCAACTGCTTTCCCAGCTCAGCCACTCTTGCCACCACTAATATTCTCGAGAGTGCTGGAGGAATTACACAGGTAGTGTATTTGAAATACAGTTGCTTCTGTGCATCTGTTGTGTCACACTCACAAGCCAGTGGTTGGCTCTTTGTGTGAAAGGCACAAAATGATTTAAGATTTGCTGGCATGTGAATGTTCATATTGTAAATGCAGAAAGTGTTCCAGATAAGAAGCCATGCTTATGGGTAATACTTCGATCTGAAGTAAGTGATGTGTGTGTGTATGTTTCTGTAGCTCTCTGGCTTATTTACCAGCCTAGTTGTTCTGATCGTCTTGCTGCTGATTGGACCACTGTTCTACTTCCTACCCAAGGTGTGTTGATGTGTTCGTATCTCTACAAGCATTGGACAGAGAAAGAGAGAAGGTGCACTTACCTCATCCTTTATCTCTCCTCAGGCAGTTCTGGCATGCATCAACGTCACCAGCCTCAGGCAGATGTTCCTGCAGTTCCAGGATTTACCTGAGCTGTGGAGAATCAGCAAGATTGACTTTGTAAGGCCATGTATTAGCAATATAAGGCTATTTGGTTCCTATGTACAAGAATAAAACTCAAGAGAATGGAAGGATGATGGTTAATTAACTCCCTTGTTATCATTTCTTAATTAATATATCAGATCATAGTATCCTTATCAAGCTGCGGTCAGGCTTAAAACATTGAAAAACTGTGCCTCAATCACCTTATCTGGAATGAAACATTATATGCTTTTAGCAGTATTTTCTCTATGCTCCCTATATGAATCAAATTCCAATAACAACAGGAAAGTAGACTTCATTCTTGCGATTATTTATAAGTTGTGATCTTTAAACAAAACCCATAAGGTTATTTGGAATGAAAACTCCTCTAGTGACATGGGAACATGAGCACAGGTAGCACATCAGATAAATGGACTGCCTCCTTCCCCTTTCACATTGATTGCTTGGCTGGAATTAACCATATTTTCACTGACATGCTTCCATTGTTGTTTGTTACATCCTGACTTGACAAAAGGTTATTGTGGTCTGTTTTTGTGTAGCTGGTTTGGGTGGTAACCTGGCTATCTGTAGTAGTACTTAACGTGGACCTTGGCCTAGCCATCGGGGTGGTTTTTTCTATGATGACCGTCATCTGTCGCACACAAAGGTACATTTTCCATTTCTTCTGCACAAATATTATAGTACAATCCAGCTATTGCTTCTCCACTGTAAGAAATACCATGTACTGTAATCTGAGAATTTATAAATGAAGACACAGTCATCTTAAAAAAACTACAAGAGTTATATCACATATCTGTCAGGTCAAGTGTGTTCACGTGTCATGTTTCATAATGTGAAATTGATGACCCATGATTCAACAGGGCTGGTTGTTCAGTTCTTGGCCGAGCCAACAACACAGAAATTTACAGACCCCTGGAGAACAACAGCAAGGTGAGAGGATACTCTCACCCTTTTGCCATTATGTTCAAATAAACAATCCACTTAAGGACATTTTGAGATACCGATAAAGATATATAATATCTTAAATTCTTATTTAGCAAACCAGTGACAATCAGAATTTCCATGACAATGCAGCAGGACTATTCTAGAATCTAGAATGAAGGTGAAACAACCCTGTTTTCATTTCAGTGCTATGAGGTCCCTGGGGTGAAGATCCTGACTTATAATGGGCCTATATATTATGGCAACCGTAGCTTCTTTAGGGAGGAGATGAGCAGGCTGTTGGGCCTGACGCCAGAGAAGATACGCAGCAAGGAGAAGGCCAGGAAAACCCTAGAGAAACGGGAGAGAGAGGTCACCATCAGCACTGTGGTATGACAATTGCAATCACAGAATGAGCTGCGAAGAAAAAAAATAGACAGACTTCATAGAATTCAGTTTATGTTCAGTATCTTATTGTTTCTTCCATTGGTCTTTAGGACAGAGGCATTGCAAACACATCATTTTCCTCAGAAAACGAGTTCTTTAACTCAGGTAAATAACAACTTTTACAGTTGAATGTGTGGATAAGACAAATATACATACAGTTCCAAAAACTAGTTTACTGTGCATATTTGTAGATTGTTTTTACTGCATTTCTAGGAAAGCTCTTTTTTTGTTTTGCAGAAACATCTGAGAGTGAAGTACAGGCAGTGTTAATTGATTGCAGCAGTGTGATATTTGTCGACATTGCTGGAGCAAGACTCTTCACACAGGTTAGTTTGCTAAAGCATGACATGACATACATTTCACCTCATATGGTTCCATACCATTTCTTTGTGAGTTATGTCAACATGATTGATTGCCTTTGGTTTTATACAGATGTGTACTGAATGCCAGAAAGTAGGAGTTCATGTATATTTGGCAAACTGCAATGGTAAGATTTATGCATGTGGATTATCTGTTTCATAAATGTTTTCTTTGTTAGGTTAACTGTGTATTACTTAATGCAGATTACATTTGTCAGAATTCACTGATCAATGTGAGCAATGATTTCTATCTCCCTTAGAGAGGGTATTAAAGATCCTAACATCAAGTGGTCTGATGAACTACATGAATCCTCAACATATTTTTGTCACTGTTCATGATGCCGTGACGTATATTCAACAGCAGAAAGTAAGTTATAATGCAGAATTTGGGGGCGGCTGTGGCTCAGGAGGTAGAGCGGGTCGTTTTCTAACCGGAGGATTAGCGGTTCGAGTCCCGGCTTGTCCAGTCAACATGTCGAGGTGTCCTTGAGCAAGACACTGAACCCCCAGTTGCTCCCGGTGATGTCACCGGTGTGTGAATGCGTGAGTGCTTGGGAGTGCGAATGGGTGAATGGCCAAATAATGTGAAAGCACTTCGAGTGTGCTGTAAAAGCATAGAAAGGCGCTATACAAGTATAAGACCATTTACCAAATGTTTCCAGATTTACAAAAGACTTTGATTTCTAACTACTCAGACGGTTGTTGTCTGCCCTAGGAAAAATCTGCAGAGAACACCACTACTGTTTGGGTATGAAGCAGCTGGACAGCGACGAGTCACGCTCACATCAATCATGTGTCTGGGGCTAGAGTGACTTTTATTTTTGTTTTATGAGCTGAGACCATGTCTCTCAACGTCATAAGGGCACTCAAGCATTTGGTCCAGATTGTGCACCAAGGTTTCAAAAAAAGCAGTAGCCTGTTGTAGCACATGAACTGGATAATACATTACAGTTTTCTCACAGATACTGGACTCACTACTGACTCACTTTAAGCTGTTATTAGTAAACAGTCACTTATTAGTCAATTCAGGGAACTTTATATCAGACAAATACAATAGACAATGTCATTGTGTATTTAGTGTAAACAAAACTGAATTAAAACATTACATGACAGACATTAACTGTTACTTGCTGTTACTGTTTGTTGTCATATATGCTGAAATATTGGAATAGTAATATTTATTCAGCTGCTGTTTGTTGTTTGCAGTACAGATAAATATAACATGCACTGAACAGTTTGTTAAAATACTTTGGATATTTAAATCTTTTGAAATATGTACTTGAATATGCAGATATGTACAGTCAACGTCATCCCATTCTGCCTTAAAATGCCATATCGTAACCCAAAAGACACTGCACAAATTATTTTATGAATGACTTTTGTGTTTATCAGTAACATCCAGTGGCTGTTTTCACAATAAATATATCTCTACAAACAGAACTTCTCAGTGAATCAAGTATGACTGCAGGACATTTGAGGGAGAAACAGTGTGGAATGTGAAGCCAGCAACTGTCAGATACTAAAGAGAGAAGAAGGGCAGTCTTTGTATCTGGTGAGGTGCTGCAACCCTGTATTTCAGCACTGAGATGAAACATGAAAAAAATATACAGGATTTAAATGGCAACAAAGACAAAGGAAGTTCTTGCCACAGCAAAGAATTACATTTGTTAGGACCTGTAGAATCCTGGTTTATTCGACATGCACCATGAATGCCATTCAAATGTGTTTTTATAAGAGCAAACACCTAGGAATATATTAACTTGCTACTGATGTATTTTACCTCAGGATGTACAGTAAATAAGTGTGGTAAAAAGTGACTAAGTAGTGTAGTTTGGAGTATTTTCATTTATTGCTTCTTCATACTTTGACTTCACTACATTTTACAAGCAAATATTGTAGTTTTTACTCTAGTACATCTATTTGCTTTTCAAAATCAGATCAACTATTCCAAATCCGGTATATTCATAAGACTATGAAATTTACAAGCCACCCAGCAATAAAGTCAATTATATTTGCTCCACCTTTGGCAGTTGCAGCATTAAAATAATGAAGACAAGGCATCACCAATTATAATCTAATAATATGATATACGTTAATGTGAAATGTGCCATTCTGCAAACAGTACTTTAATACTTTATGTTTGATACTTTTCATGGTAGTTTTTTGTACCGTAACATTTGAAATGCAGGATTTTTCTTGTACCCTGAACCCACCAGGCCTATTTTACAGTGTGATATTTCCTTAAGTATTTCCTCCACTATTAGTAAATATTAAGTGAAAAACATGTCTCTGCACCACCACGCTGCCCTCTGCTGTCCAGTTAAAGGCTTTTCTCATCTCATCATAATCTTACCTTGACCTGATAAAACTATACGTAGTGTGAGTTCAAAAACAGAAAAAAAAACATTACTTGCTTGCATAATGTTGGATGGCCAAGTTATTAATTTTTCCAGATCATATTTCAAAGAGGCCTCTAGACAGTGAACCCTTTGGGTTTTCCCTTTAAAGCTCAAGCTGTGTTTCATTAATTGGTAGGAAGTAGTGCACTACAATTAGAACATGGTACACAAGGCTCTGGCCAAATGTTTACTAAGCCAGATTGTACCAGCAGACCTACTAACAGGCACGCGTGCGCACACACACACACGTTTGTACAGGTGTCTTCTTGTAAATGCATAAATGCATAAATGCAAAGGCACATATAAAAAGTAACCCACAGCAAAGTGCAGGATATGGTCCGTCTTACCATGCTAACTCTGAGAGACGAGACAGTCCAAGTAACTTCAAAACAGTGCTGATTTATTCAAAGGATCACAGGTAAAATTAACATTACACGCTCAGGTATCTTGCACCTC